CCTGCTCCAGCAGCCTTCTCTGTTCCATTGATAAGGAAAGAAATCTGTGCGGTGGTTTTTAATACAGTCAGGCTTCCTCTTTTTACCCTTTCCATCTTAAACTCAATCACTCACGATGATAGAACTATACCCTAACTCAGTGGTTCTCAACCTTCCTAACGCTGCAACCCTTTAATACAGTTCCTCGTGTTGTGGTGACCCCCAATTTCATTGTTACAAACTGAACATAATTAAAGCATAGTGATTAATGGCAAAAACAATATGTAATTATATATGTGTTTTCTGATGGTCTTAGGCGACCCCTGTGAAAGGGTCATTTGATACCCAAAGGAGTCGCGACCCATAGGTTGAGAACTGCTGCCTTAACTGCTCATGTCCATCTTCCCAGTGACCTCTAAAATGGTGAATATATGGAGATCTTAAAATGCCCTTTCTATAGCACTCAACACTGTTGAGAAAACATTTGTACTAGAAAACCTGCATTCTCTTTACCAAAAGGCAGTCATCATGCTTTCCCTCCCTCTCTACTCCCAACCCCTTCACGGTAACCACCATCGGAAAAGCCAATGATCCAGGACTGGGACTTCTCTCTTTCTCATCTCACTTCCATATGGTTTTGGCCTGGCTGGCTCAGTCCTTTAATTAAATTGCAATCATATGCTTGCTAATTCTAAATGCATAGCTCCAGCCTAGACCCTTCTCCTGACACTCCATATTTGTAAATTCATCTGATGGCCTGACATCCATATTTGGATACTTAACATTCTTCACACATTGATATGTCCAAAACCCAACTCCCCCCTGTCTTATCTGCAATTGTACCATCAATGTAAATGGCAAGTTCACTGTCAATGAAGAATTAAATCTGGAAACCACTCATAAGTCTTCTTTTTCTCTCACATCTCATGTCTAATTGAGCAGCATACCTTCCAAGCTCTATCTTCAAAATATGCCAAAATCATGTCCATTTCTCAGCACCCCCAGTCCCAGTCCATAATCAACTCTGACTGAAGTATTGCAAAGATTCTAACTGCTTTTCCCACTTCAAGACTTTCCCCTCTCTAAGTGATTCTCAGTAAAGCATACTATTCCTCCGCTTACAATTGTTCACTGATTCCCTAGTTCACTTAGAGGTAAAGCATCTGGATCGGTGGTCTAATTACTGTACTTCTGACTCTGCCACTGCGGTACAGGCCTCCTCACAGGTCCTAAAAGACATCATCTATCATACTTCCTTCTCTGGAAGGCTCGCCTCTAGATCAGATGTTAGCTGAGTTATTCCCTACTGGGTCAGGCCTTCCTCCATCACAAAATTCAAAAGTAGATGCCCTACCCCCAGAACTTCTGGTCACCCTTACTTTTCTCCTTGTTTTCAATATTCTGTATCATCTTCTAACATTTCCTGTATATTGAAAAAATATTAGCAACATGAAGCTGGGATTTGTAGCATTTTTGTTGTTCACTGACATATTTCAATGCTTAGGAAAGTAGCTGGCATATCTGTTGAACTAATTAATTGATTACTTCAGTCTGTAAATAGCATTGGGAATATGAGGACATGAATTCTGAGAGTGTAATGATTGTAAGAATTTATGCAATTGATCTATATAAATCTGCCTATCAAAACACAGGTTAAATCATTGAATGTCACTGCTAAAGAGGGGGTTGGGGTTTTGGGGGGGTTTGGAGCATAACATAGCTTTATTTTTTATAATAAAAATTTCAAATAATATTAAAAATATAAAGAATAAAGTAAAAATCACAATAAATCCCATCTCTCATAGATAAGCATTATTATACTTCTGTGTATATGTATTTTGCATAAATGGAATTCATTTTATATGATTTTATATTTTTATAGCTTTCTTCCTTCATTCAATATGTTCTATTTTCTATGATCCAGGAATATCTATGTCTTTTTTTCCTTCTTTATTGAATACATTGGGTACACTGGTTAACAAAATTATACAGGCTTCAGGTGCACAATTCTACAACACATCATCTGTACACTATATTGTGTGTTCACCACCCCAAGTCAAATCTCAGTCCATCACTATTTATCTTCCCTATACCCTCCTCTAGCTCTCCCTACCCCACCTCCTCCCCAGCAATCACTATGGGACAAGGCTGTTTCCAATTTAAGTAGTGAAACCACTATCTAGTCATAAAGTATTTTCATTATTGGTATAAGTTATATTTAAAAAGAATTTTAAAAATTAAATCTGGCCTGGCCAGTTTTCTCAGTGGTTAGGGTGTCAGCCCTCAGACCAACGTGTCTTGGGTTCAAGGGCACATACCTCAGTTACAGGGTTGCAGGTTCAATCCCCAACCCCAGTCAGGGTGCAAGCAGGAGGCAACCAATCGATGTGTCTCTTTCACATCGATGGTTTTTTTTTTTTTCTCTCTCTCTCTCTCCCTCCCACTCTCTCCCATTCTCTAAAAATCAATGAAAAAAATATCCTCATTTGGGTGAGGATTTTTTAAAACATAAAAATTGAATCTGTATTGTTATAAAGAATAACATAATCAGGCCAAACCAACTAATTTATGACACTACGGTTATTCCTACCTAAAAATAATTGACTAAATATTTTTTACTTTATTAATTCTCTAACTTAAGCAACTCATCAAATTGATGGATAATAAAATAAGCCAAACTTATTATTCAATCCTCTGCAATGCTTTTATATTGATTTTTTTTCTGTCTTTAAATATGTTTCATCTAGTCCATGGGTGGGCAAACTTTTTGACTCGAGGGCCACAATGGATTCTTAAACTGGACTCAGAAGAAGGGGCTGTGGCTGTGTTTCCCGACGTTGCCATGTTAACACTGCTGCTGGTGAAGGAGCGGAGGGGAGAGCAAGAGAACTCTCCGCTCTTTTGGCTCCGCGGGCCGGATAGAACAGCCGAACCGGCCGGATCTGGCCTGCGGGCTGTAGTTTGCCCACGGCTGATCTAGTCCTTCAAATTTTACTGTTTTAGTATTTTATAAACAAGAAAATGCAGATTTATTGGAACAAATGTTACTCCCATCACAGCTACTGAGCCACTATTTTAACCAAATGCAGCGTATATATTGGCATCAAGACTGTTCACCACATTCCCGTCTTCTTCACCCTGGGCATGGTGCTGTCTCCCATCCCCTTACAGCCTGCTATTGCCATGGGACACATTTTCATGAATAACATCCTCGGGAAAGCCACGTGCACCACCTCAGCATGTGTACCTTCAGGAGCAGTGCCTGGTTCACCATAACCTTGCCTTCTACATGGCTACCAGCAATACAAAGGAGGTGGGCTCTGTCTGCAAGGGCCCCAGAATGAGATGATGTGAAACCAAACCCTCCATAATCCTATATAATAAAAGCCTAATATGCAAATAGACCGAATGGTGGAACGACCGGTCGCTATGATGTGCACTGACCACCAGGGAGCAAACACTCAACGCAGGAGCTGCCCCCAGCCCACAGGCCCCAGACCAGCCAAAGCAGGTGCCAGTGGGGGTCCCCTGATTGCTCCGCAGGTGGGAGGCAACCAGCAGTGGCAGGGGATGGGGCCAGCAAGCAGGCAGCGCCAGGCCAGCCAAGGCGGTGCCAGCAGGGCCCCCCGATCACCCTGCCAGTCACCCACAGGGCGGCCCAGATCACCGGCCAAGCCTAGGGACCCTACCTGTGTACAAATTTCATGCACGGGGCCTCTAGTCCAGTAATAAACCAATAGCATGACCTCAAAATAAAACTGTGCTGACTTTAGTCACGAAACTTTGGGTTTTGCTTGTTACTGTACCTGACTGCTCCAGTAAGCAGCCAGACTCCAAACACCCTGTCCTCCAAACTCTAAGGTGCAACCCACCTTGGAACTTCCTCAACATTTCTCTCATCCCAGGGATTCGACACATGGTCTTCAGCTCCAGGGGGATGGTCTCCGGTTCCAGCTGTGTGACACTCTTACTTCTGAGAAGAGCACAGTACCCACAGTTTTTAACATCCACCAACCTCCTTGGCCTCTCCCAACCATGCTCTGCTTCAGAAAGTAAACATACCGGCTCAAGGTTCCTCTCACCCCCTGGAAATAAAAGAGAAATACAAGCAGGTGTGAGTTTGATATCAGAACTGCTTTTGACAAAATGGGGACAAACCATGAACATCTCTTTAGGAACTATTGGAAATCACTATTATAAAGATAAAGTATAGAAGACATTGATTTCTCTTAGTAAAAAACATATGTAGGCTATTGTTGAATTTTCTCATGAATTTCAAATAATATAATCAGTTTCCCTCTATAAGAATAGAATATACAAAAGTTTAAGTTAATTCCTATGATATCTACCAATTTAACTATTTTCCAAATTGATAATTCTGACATTTGCATATTTTAATAAAGAGCTACGTTCTGCCACAAATGTATGTGGGGAAAAGAGGGGAAGGGGAACATCTGCAATAAAGTCAACATTAAAATTGTTAATAAAAAATATCTTAGATATCTACAGAATGTGTTTGAGAAAGTGAAAGGTGTAGACAAAACATTACTCTCAATGTCTCTGAAAGAAACCCCAATTCCTCATGTCTCTGGACTCTTATGTGAACAGGTTCCCTAAGTGGATAAAGACAGAAGTCACCTAGCATCATTTTATTGCCAAGTAGATTATTAAGTAAATCAACTGCATACATTTCTCCTCTCCCTCTAAAAACCTGCACCTATCAGATTAATCTTTATAAGTAGGAAATGACATCGAGTTTGTATTTATGGCAGACCTTGTTCTTGGCCATTGGATATAAAATGTAGTTTACTGATACTGGGGGGAAAGAGAAAGGTGAGGATGAAAATAAAAAGAAATTATTTGAATACATCCTCCTAAGATTTGCATTATAAATCATTTTAACATTTATTTGGTGCTAATGAATGCTCTTATTTTTATTTTTTTAAAATATATTTTATTGCATTTTTACAGAGAGGAAGGGAGAGGGATAGAGAGTTAGAAACATCCATGCGAGAGAAACATCCATCAGCTGCCTCCTGCATACCCCCTACTGGGGAAGTGCCCACAACCAAGGTACATGCCCTTGACCGGAATCAAACCTGGGACTCTTCAGTCCACAGGCCGACACTCTAGCCACTGAGCCAAACTGGTCAGGGCATGAATGCTCATTTTAAATAGCTTATATTTTGAGATATGGTAAGACAATGAATGTTATTAAAAATACTACAGTTCTGCTCTGGCTGGTGTGGCTCAGTTGGTTGAGTGTTGTCCTGTACACCGAAAGGTGGCAGGTTTAATTCCCAGTCAGGGCACCTATGCTGGTTTGATCCCTGCTTGGCTGTAGGGGAAGCAACTCTCTCACATCTCTCTCCTCTCTCTCTCTCTCTCTCTCTCTCTCTCTCTCACACACACACACACACACACACACACACATCAATAAAAAAATACCCTCAGGTGAGGATTTTTAAAAAATGCTGAAGTTCTTGTGTTACCGTTTAAAATTTAAATTAAAAAATCCTTTCTGACCTTCAGTGTGCTCACAAGGAAATAGGTATAGCAACAATAACAACAATAATTTTTATATAGAGATATTTTGAATACAAAATGGGTAAAATTAAATATAAATGTTTTGTAAATTCTTCATTTAATGGCCTCCACTGTGCTAAGTCACCATCCTTGTATGAGGATATGAATCACTTAGTGTAGAAATCTCTGAGTAAGTCAATGGGACGGAGATAGAATTCAGTCTGCCTGGGAACTTTCTATTACAGTGGTTCAGTCAGAAGACACGCATGCATCAAGGACGGCATTTCTGATGAACCAGGATTAATGCCTTCATGGAAGATAAAATGAACATCTCCGTCTCCCTGTTATTTGTCTATTCTATAATACCACACAGAATATGAGCAAACTGCACCAAGCTCTGTACTTGCACTGTGCCTGGAACAGGCATGTGATGTGCCTGTTTGCCTTAAGTTTTAATGTGAAAATCCCAATCTGGACAACTTAAAATTTACTTATCTGCTTGGCTATTGCCCGAGACAGGTTAGTTACCAAAGACTTTCTGAATTGGCCATCACTGAATACAGCAATATTGCCATTGACAGATTGTAAGGTTTTAAGAAGTGTTTTAGCCCAACATAGTGTAGGCTGTCCTTCTGTTTAATGTTACACAAATGATAAAGTTAATTTAAAAAATACTTGGGTTTTTCTCTTCAATGTGAACTATTTTATAAGATTCTGGAGGATCCCCTGATTCTCCTGCGCTTCTGGTGAGCTCGAGGGTGTCCTCTCCGCGCGGTTGTGAGCGCTGCAGCCCCCTGAGACCTCACCTCCAGCAGATCCAAGGCCGGGAGCCGGCAGCGGTCCTCCAGCTCCTGCGCCAGCTCCCGCAGGGCCCGGCCGCGCTGCGCCAGCTGCCGCTGGCCTTCGCGCAGTCTCTGCAGCGTGGCGCGCTCCTCCTGCTCCAGCCGCCGCAGCTGCAGCTGCTCCTCCAGGGCCAGGAAGCCGCGGTACTTCTCGAACTCCAGCCTGAAGCGTTGTCTCTGCATTTCCACTTTCTCCTGCCGGAAGAGGTGACTTCCATCACCAGGGCGGGCCCAGCGCCTGCAGCTGCCTTCCTGAGGCAGTGAGGCTAGACAGGCCACGTCCTGCGTGAGCGCAGCTCCCCACTCTGGGCACGCACTGGCTAATTTTAAAACACGCTGACACCTGGCTTGACAGAGCTTTCACGCTGAGAGTTTAAGAAAGGCATGGATTTGGTCTTGGGGACAATGCACTTTTATATTCCAGTTTCAGCAATGCATACAAAATGTGGGGGAAAGGAGCGAGGGTATTAGAATTAAATGGCTATTAAATTATTGAGGAAAATCACTAACATACCAGTTGAAATGTACTATTCGGGGTCACCAGAAGGAGCCATGCGCAGAAACAGCAGGATCATTAAAAGAGATCAGAGACCTGGGTTTATAGATGTGAACGAGGAAAGGCTTCGAGATTAGAGAACCTGGATGTATCTTCTCAGTTCCACATCTGGAGCCCGGGGGCCAGCGCTCTCTGCAGAGTCTGGAAAGAGCTAAGCACTGACTGCAGACTTAACCTCAGGGATTTTGATTTCTACTCAAATCTCACTGCCATGATTTTTTAATAGACCTAAGGAACATATCTGATACAGCAGTATTATATCTAAACTGAGTTCAACAGGCAAATTTTTCTCCCACAGTCTCTCCACATTTTACATTCTCTGGCCCAGATTTAAACATGATCACATCTTGGTTTGCTTAAGGAGCATAAAATATCACCTTTAAAAAATTAATAATAGTTTTCCTCAAATCCCATAGAACTCAACTCCTCTCTCCAATTTCCCATCTCTACTTCCATCTACCTCTTTGTAAATGACTAGATTCATATAATACCTATTTAAATGAACCAACGCTGAATTTGATAATCTGATCTGTAACTCAGGTAATTCCTCCAGATGCTGGAGGCTATGAGGAGTGGAGCATGAGGGATGGTGTGGTGACAGGGGGTTTGGCTGCAATGCATCTTACCCTCATATTATCATTTTCAGTACCACAATTTTATATCTACATATATAGGAAGGAAAAGGGTTTTGTAGAATTTACAGTTCATCTTATTAAACCTGTGCTTGTCGCATTTGGCTCACAGGGGTATATTCTCAATAATAAAGATCATGCAAGTTTATATGGCTTAGAACAGGAATCTTAGCATCATCTCTACTTTAGAATAACCAGTGTAGATTTTTTTAAATGCAGGACCAAGATCTTGATATGGAGTTTCTAATTTTGTAAGTCTGCAGTTAGTTCAGGATTGAAAATATAAAAATTATCAGATATCAAGTTACACTATTAAGCTACTCTACTCAAAATAGCCTGGTACTGGCACAAGAACAGGCATATAGACCAATGGAACAGAACAGAGATCCCAGAAATCAACCCAAGCCATTAAGCTCAATTAATATTTGACAAAGAAGGCAAGAACATACAATGGAGTCAAGAGAGTCTTTTCAATAAATGGCATTGGGAACATTAGACAGGTACATGCAAAGAAATGAAAC